GAAGCAAAGTTTAGGCAGATTTTTACGATGGGCTATGACTCTCTGCGTTTAATTCCTAGTGAAGGCAGGTCTGGAGGTATCGTTGCTATTTAGAAAAGCAGTGAAGTTAATGTTCAGTGTTAGAGAAAAATCGACAATTCATTCACGTCAGGTGTATTTTTCCTGATCTCCCCTCTTTTCTATGCACCGCTGTGTATGCGCTTCCCCACTCAAATTTTAGAGAAGTTCTTTGGAACAAAATCAAGCTTCTTTCTCTGGACTCGATGGAACCATGGTTAGTTTTTGGAGATTTTAATGATATCTCCTCTAATTCAGAACGTGTTGGTGGAGCTGGGGGGAATTCTCAGCCCATCAAATGGTTTCAAGATCAAGTTGCAGAAGCTGGGTTGTCCGATTTGGGTGCTTCAGGTCCTAAATTCACTTGGAAGGGACCTCTTCTAAATGGGTATGCTAGACTTTATGAGAGGTTAGATCGAGCTCTTGCTAATTCTAATTTCTTTACTGCATTCCCGGACTGTATGGTTAGAGTACTGCCTAGAACAAATTTTTCTGATCACAACCCACTCTCTATAAATCTAATTAAAGCTGTAGCTTCTCAGGGTAATTCAAAAACCTTCAGATTTGAAGCTATGTGGCTCCACCATGATTGTTTTCATAATTTCTTATCTGACAATTGGAGCAATAATGAGGATCTTGAGATGAATTTGCAGCAATTTACAAATTCTGTTTCTATATGGAACAAGGAAGTGTTTGGGTTAATTGAGAAAAGGAAAAAAAAAAAATTCTAGCAAGGCTTGATGGTATTCAAAATTCCTATGCCTATCCTTTCTCTCGATTTTTATATAATTTAGAGTTGGAACTTCAAAAAGAGCTTGAGGAAATTCTTACAAAGGAGGAGATTAAATGGTTTCAGAAATCAAGGTCGGAATGGATATCTAAAGGTGATAGAAACACTCGATATTATCATCTTAAAACCACCTTTAGAAGATGGAAGAATAGAGTTCTAGCTCTAAAAAAAAATTCTGGCATATGGGTTGATGATGAACAAGCTCTCAAGCAGATGGTAGTTCTCTTTTTTAAGTCTCTTTACAGTGAAGAATCGGTCAATTCAATTGATCTTATTACCCATTCTTCTTTTCCAAAAATGGATGTTTTACAGAATTTTTATTTGGCTTCTATTCCTTCTGATGAAGAGATCCATAATGCTATTCATGCAATGGGTCCTTACAAAGCTCCTGGATACGATGGGTATGCACCTATCTTTTTTCAAGCTAACTGGAAGACTGTGAAGGATTCTCTGATTAGATTTGTGAAAGGCTTTTTTACAGGGTCAGTTTCTATTATGGAGGCCAATAAAACTCTTATTTCTCTCATCCCAAAGAGAGAAAGCCCTGAATTGGTCAACCACTTCCAGCCGATAGCTCTTTGCACTACTCATTATAAATGTCTCACAAAGATTATCACACAACGATTAAGAGGAATTATGGATAGTCTAATTTCCCCTTTTCAATCTAGCTTTATTCCGGGAAGACAAATTCAGGATAATATAATAGTAGGACAGGAAATAATGCATTTAATGAACAAAGTTAGAGGGAGAAAAGGTTTTGTAGCTATGAAGATTGATCTTGAGAAAGCTTATGACCGCATTAAATGGGAGTTTGTTCAGAAAGTTCTTCAAGAAGTGGGGCTGGAAACAAATTTTATTCATCTTATCATGTCTTGTGTGACCACTGTCTCTTATAATGTTCTTTGGAATGGGTTGCAAACTGATTTCTTTTTCCATCAGCAAGGTCTACGTCAAGGTGACCCCATCTCTCCTTATTTATTTGTGCTTTGTATGGATAAATTATCTCATCTAATCTCAGATGCAGTGATTGAGGGCAAATGGAAACCTATCTATGCTTCTAAGCAAGTAGGGGTGGAAATAGGCCAGGCGGCCTGTCAGGGGCCTGTGGCCTGGCCTGGCCTATTTCCAAATTAAAACAGGCTCAAGCCTTTTTAAAGGCCTGTTTCTTTTAAAAGACCAGGCCTAGGCTCTTTAATAAGCCTGTTAGGCGGCCTGGGCCTGTTATATTTTTAAAAATATTATAATTATAAATTTATAATTAACTTTTTAAAATAATACCATGTTTTGATTAATATTGTAATATGCCTAATACCACATTTTTATCCTGAATAAGACCGTGTTTGGATTACTCTTCAATATACCTTGGATGATGATTTCTATAATATGCACTTTGTTATTCATTCAAATCCTACTGCCCGATGATGATTTCGTGTTTGTCATTTTTGACTTTTATTTACCTATACAAAACTACTTAGTTTTTCTAACGTACATCACCAACAATTGACAATAGAAATAACCCCTCTATGAATTTGATTTCTGTTTATCCCTTGTATTGTGACCATTTTAACTACATCTTCTCCTCAAGTTATTAAATATTTTTCACTTAAATAATATAATTTGAAACATGAACAACAAAATAATATACTACCATTTGAATATTAAATATTTTTCACTTAAATATTTTAGATAATTTTATGTTTGTATTTTATATAATTTGGATTGAGTTATATAATGTTGAGTTGATTTAAATATGTTTAAAATATTTTTTAAAAAATACAGGCTTCTTAACAGGCTTCAGGCCAGGCCAGGCTTTTGCACAGGCCAGGCTTAAGCTGAATATAAGGCCTGTCACAGGCCATAGGCCAGGCTCAGGCCAACAGGCTTCAATACAGGCCTGGCCTGTTAAGGGTAAAGCCTGGCCTGGCCTGGTCTGTTTCCACCCCTATAAGCAAGGCCCCTTGATTTCTCATTTAATGTTTGCGGATGACTTGCTTCTTTTTGGAGAGGCTACAGATGACCAGGTTGCTGTAATGTTGAATTGCCTTGATATTTTTGTAAAGCTTCTGGAGAAAAGGTGAACAAAGATAAATCATCAATTTTTTTATCAAGGAATGTCAAACCTGAAATAAGAGGAAGAATCAAAAGATGCGTGGGAATGAAAATTTCAGAAGAAATTGGTACTTATTTGGGCTTTCCGCTAACTAGAAAAAAGAAACCAACAGAAAAATTCAAGTACATCATTGATAGAGTCAAATCCAAGCTTGCTGTTTGGAAGACGAATAGCTTGCCTACCAGTGGGAGAGTGGTTTTAGCAAAATCTGTTCTTAGTACAATACCATTATACCCTATGCAAGTTGCCAAAATTCCTATTTCAATTTGCAATGAAGTGGAAAAACTTCAAAGGAATTTTATTTGGAGATGCAAGGATAATGGAAGAGGTTTTCATCAAATTGGATGGGAAAAATAACATAGCCTAGGGACTATAAAGGGCTTGGCTTTAGAAAGTTACATTCAGTTAATAGAGCTTGTGGTGCAAAATTAGCGTGGAAGCTTATTACTGGATCAAAAGGCATATGGGCAGAGGTGCTACAAAATAAATATATGCTGCATAATGAAGACAATCTTCTTACTGCCAAAAGGGGGGATTCACAGTTATGGAAATTTATCTATCAACAAAGGGATATTGTGGAAGCTGGAACTAGATGGAGGATAAGGAACGGACTGAATGTCAATTTTTTGATGACTGTTGGCTTCCCAATGGGAAAAGAATCAAAGATTTTTGCTCAAGACTGCTTACAAATACTGAGCAACATTCAACTGTTGCTAACTGGGTACTTAATGGTACGTGGGACCTTGATAAACTAAAGGGTTTGATGAATAATGAGGTAATTTCTTTGTTGTTAGCTGTTATTCCTCCAATGGCTAATTTTGGCAATGATGTTATGGTGTGGAGTGAAACAAGTCATGGTCAATTTTCTATAAGAAGTGCTTATAATATGGTTGAAAAGACTAACCCAATTTTTTATAATGCTACCTACAACCTTATATGGAAGTGGAGTGGAGCTGAGAGATTGTTTATGTGGTTAGTGTTTCATAATCGGCTGCCTACTAATCTGTGGAGGAGCAAGTGGTCACAATGTTCTTCTAATTGTGATTGGTGCCAAAATGAGGTTGAAAATACTCTCCATGTTTTAAGAGATTCTAGTTATGCAAGAAAACTATGGCTTGCTATACTAAAACCTACTGCCCATCAACAATTTTTTTCGGTTGCTCTTACTGATTGGGTTGCTATGAATCTAAGAAATAACTTTGGCAATGGTCTGGACGTAGAATGGAATATTATGTGGGGAGTAGCCATATGGAAGCTTTGGCAGTGGAGAAATGAATTTATTTTCAACAATGCTTTTCGTAAGCCACTCAATCCTGCTTTGTTTGTTCTCAATATGTGGTCCTCCTTTGCTGGTAAAAGAGTCGTCAAGAATCAGCCTGGTATTAACACCCCCAATAAGATACATTGGCAGCCGCCGCCACGCACACTTTTCAAGCTAAACTTTGACGGTGCAAAGTCCAACTCATCTGTTGGCAGCTTGTGGGGGCCTTATCCGAGATCATGATGGCACTTGGGTTGTGGGATTTTCTTGTTATCTTGGTGTCTGTTCTCCCCATGAAGCTGGGGAATGGGGAATGTTAAAGGGTTTCAATCTAGCAATTCAAATGTGATTCAACAATCTTGTAGTGGAATCTGATAACCAGAATTTAATTCACTCCCTCACCAATTGGAGTTCTCACTCTACAACTTGCTCGACAACTTTGCTAGAGGTAAAGAGGTTGCTTTCTTTACTGACAGAAGTTCATCTCTAGTATGCTCCTAGGAAGTGTAATATCATTGCAGATGCTCTGGCCAAGATGGGGTTTACTAGCACGGCCATTTATGACACAGCTTCTCCTAACTTGAGGACTCTAGTGCAGAAAGATCTATTGGGATTTCAATCCCCTACTAGTTAGTTTTCTCTTTTAGGCTTTTTGCCTTCTTGTATACCAAAAAAAAAAAACCTGGACTCACATTGCGTGGGTCAGCTACTTAGCATGTAATTATATGCTTCGTTAGTATATCAGACCTAGTTATTATTAAATCTTAAAACTATAGAAGTTATCTGTTGTAGTCTAGTCGGTTAGGACTTAGGATACTCGGCTCTTACCCGAGAGACCCGGGTTGGATTCCCGGCAACGGAAAGATTTTTTGTGTTTTGTGTTTCAGCAGCTACCAACGTCAAGCGGGAGCATTATAGTCTTTTCGTTAGATTCATGGCCCTTGCCGAAGCCCAAGCAGCAACCATAGATACATGCATGCATGCGTCTATCTATATATCAGCCTCTCCGTTCGGTGGCACTCCGTCGTATCGCTTTCAAGTTTCAACCTTCCCTCCTCCCATCTGTTCTTTCCTCTGCAACGTCGTAATGTTACACTTCTCCTGTAAATCCAGTGATTTGTGAATATGTTTATTTATATGAATGTCTATGTGGGCTTCGGAAAAGAAGTGCTCGAACCCAATGAGGGAAATCAAACTCCAGAAACTCACCCTCATGATCAACACCTGTGTTGGTGAAAGTGGTGATCGTCTCACTAGCCTTTGTTGCTAAGGTCGGCTTTGTACCTGCTTCCTATAATTCCTGGTTGGGTTCACTTGAATGTTGGATTTCCAGAAACCAAAATGCTTCTTCGAATTCATGTCTCTGCCAGTTCCTATGATAAATAAAGCAACCCAGAAGCAAGTTATCGGGCAATGGTACCGGATTACCGCTATTATATTTTCAGTATGTTAGATCCATCTCCCTGTTTGTCTTTCAATTCAGTCCTCGCCTTGTGCCTAAAGTGCTTCTCGATTCTGATAATATCTCAATTTGGTTTCTTTAATTAAATCTATCATCGAATATCTGTTTTTCTATCAAATTCAGATGGACACATTATGTGATGGACCACTAATTATATTTATATTTGGGAAGGGATTGATTGAGAAATGTCTATATCTTAAAAACCTAAATAAGAAGACAATGTTGTCATTCACAAAATTGAGAATTGTCTTATTTGTGAAGTAACGAATTAAGGCAATTTTCAGAAAGACTAAATTCAGAAATACCTCATCATTTACTCTGTAATCACCCATTTTTTCATTCGAAAAAGGAGCATTTTGACTACTAACAATTCATCGTGTGAATCTTGCTCCTATGTAAGTGAAAAGTTGTCATATATACATGTGTGTGTGTGTTGTGTGTTCTTCCTTGCTCTCTCTTCTAAAGCATTCACAGGAAGTGATCGGAGGAGAAGGCAACGGGTCGTGCTTCACTCTTCACCAGATTCTAACGCTATTGTAGAAATAACTTTGAGGAAAATTGGCAAGTATACCAATTCTATTTACTATTCAACTCTAACAACAACAAAATTATAATTCTAGCTTTCATTATTTAACACTCGTACCTCGTCAAGAATTTTCTTATGGATATCTACCACTTCCATTTTTTAACACAAGGATTTGGTCTTCATACATAATTTTACAAACAAGGTCATTTACCTTCATAATGATTTTACATGTTCGAGACCCTTATTAAGGGATAAAAATTTTGTTAATTTGGTCCTTGAATATAATTTTCTCTATACGTATAGTCAGCAAAACATGTCAACCTTCAACATATAGCGGCATCAATACTTCATCTATGATTAACAACTTAATTTTGTCAAGTAGGAAATTTAATATAAACTCGAAATAATTACAACACAAGTATACTGGACGCACCTTAGACAATTATTTAATAGAAACCACACAGTTGTTGAATAAAAACTTTACAATCACAACACACCAATTTTCTGAGTCCTTAATACATTGGAGTCATAGTACATAATAAAGCAAGCCACGCTTTAAGGATAGAGTTTCGACCATGACCAAGCCATTGATCAGCCAATTTATTGGTAGGAAACTGGGAATATTGTTTATGATAAAAACGGAGCCTCATTTATTATCAAATATAATGGAACATATATAATTACTAAAACATATCATTTGAGAATTCAACAAAAGCATCATTGCACAAACGTCTGTCCACATCCTTCATCAAGTGTCAACATCATCGCCAACAACGTATACCTGCATTGATCAAGCAAGGAAAGTAAAAAGGCATGTTTATATTTTGAGTGTATCCATGTTATCATATATAGTAGCATAATCATATTGCAGCCAATGTGTCAACAAAAAAAAAAAAACAAAGAAAAATTGACATATATAAAAGAGTTATCTGTTTCATCCCTTAATATATGTAGCATTTGTTGATATTATAGCAACTACTATTTCAGCGGTAGGAAAGCACGGACAAATATAGCAAAAAGATACAAATAATTTTTTTTAAAAAAAAAAGATGCAGGTTTTTTAATGCTTCCTCCCTTCATATATGGGGCTATTGTTGATTTCATAATAACTACTAGAGAAAAACGTAGACAATAAGCAGAAAAATATCATAAAACTGACCAACCTGAAAATGATAACATGGATGATGGACTCATCCTTCTAGATATTAACAGCTAACACTATCCTGCAATACCAAATCATAGTATTGGTTAGCCTGAAAATATGTAATTTTGAAGAAAGACGACATTGGCATAAGCACAATATAATCAATTCTCTATTTCCTTATAATTAAGTATAAATTTTTCGAAACAATATTTGTTAGCGTGGTTATATCATGCATTTGCTGTGGATAGCATTTCTACCGTTTTGTTAAGGCCTCTTTTATTCCTTCCATTCCATCTCATGCTCTTCTATTTTCACTTTAGACAACTTTGGTGTTTCCAATACCCCTGGACAAAACTTCTTCATTTTAGGATGTCTATTTATTTGTATCACTTTTAATTCTGGGAATTCGAAGACGCGACTTCGTGAAGAAAACATCTTCAAGCTTGACATATCAGTAAGTCCAATTCTCTATGGTTGAATGTGATTCTACCTTCTACATCTTCACTAGTCTTATTCATTACAATTTCTTTCATCCTTTTGCAATCATTTATCTTCAAAAACACAATACTCACCAAACTTTTAGCAGTTAAACTTGTCACTAAAGGGATGAGCCAATGACATCTGAATACGGACAGCATTCTCAATTTTCTACAAACTGAACAGTAATATCTATATACTGATTTTCTACAAACAGAGCAAAATAAGGGACTTCGGCATAATTATTCGCGTCCGCATTCAGTGGTCATCAGGTGATGAGCATCGGGTGCTCATCACCTAATGAGCAATCTGGGCCGTCCAGATCTAATCTGGACAGTCCAGATTTAATATTTTTAAATAATTATTTAAAAATAAAAAAAATTATATTTTTAAAGAATGATAGTTAAGAGATTATTTTTATTTTTTATCCTATACCTATTAAAATAATTATTTTAAAAAAATAAAATTAAAACTAAAATTAAATCTGGACCATCCAGATCAGATCTGGACGGTCCAGATCTGATGAGCACCCAATGCAAATCCGGCAGATTGAGAAGCATCTCTAAATTATAAAGCAAAATGAAGATCTAAAAATAATAAAATAGACAAAACACACAGTATAAATTTTAGTAGGTCAGTATCCCTATGATTATTGTAATTAAAAACGTTCTTTTGAAATGATGGTGACCATGCATTCCTGGAGAGTCGCGTTGGCATATAGCAAGGATCAGGAGTCGCGTTGGCATATAGCAAGGATCAGTAATGCGTAGCTTGATTTCCTAACCACGCACAGAGCTTTGCTACTTTTTTCACTGTGCAGTAGTCTTTAACTAAAGCTGAGACATGATTTGTCATATATAGTATTGTCCAAGTTAAAAAAGACTGTTTTAACTGAAATTTGATACTGAGCTTTCAAAAGGCTGACTCAATTTGTTTCCTTCAATGTGAAACTTGTAGCGGAACAGAGTACCTACTAATAAACTCTGCAGGAACCAACGCCACCAATTTTGCAATTGAAAAGGCTACCTACACATGTAAAGAGAAAGAGTTAATTCTATATATATATACCAAAATGATATAGCAAAAGAAAAAGTTCTATGAGAAGACTGTTAAATGATATTAGCTAGAACTTTCAAAAGGAAAACTCGATTTGCTTCCTTAAACATGAAACTTGTAGGGGTGCCTACAAATCAACTCTGTAGGAACCCATAGCACCCATAGAATGTAACAATGCTTCGTTTGTGAAAGGTGGGATGGGAGAGTGCTACTGGACAAGGCTTATGTGTAAATCAATTTTATATGAAGAATGATTTGCGCTATGAATCTTGCAATAGCTCTACAGATATGATATATATAAATATATATATTGGTATATTAATTAATAAGATGAGAAACCTTTTCACTAAATGGCGTCTTGTAACTTCCTTGAACTCGTGTAAGAGAATGTGTTTAAAAAAATATTATAATTAAGAAACTTGGGTTAGATGGAGATTAGTCTGTTCAAGGGTTTTATGTGTGTTTCTTATTAGTCGGGTGATTGTTGTTTGAGTATATTAGTAATTACATGAGTTTGGCTGTTTGTTGGTGTATTTGACAACAACAGAGTACTTGAAAATTATCCAGAACCCTCCCGAATGCAAATCAATATATGAATTATTTATTTGTGCATCATGCACCCTACACATAAAAGGAGCTTCAACATCCAGCCAAAGCATGTCACCTTATCAAATTAATTTGCATACACATTAGCTTAAGCATGGAGAAGTTGAAAAGTTTTTATTTTCCATTCTTCCCCTTTTGACCTATCACTCCAAGGAAACAAACATAAACATGGAGAAAAATGTCACAGATCCATATAATAACAAATTCACAAGAAGCCCCATTTACACTAAGGAGAAACAAATTCCAGACAAACCACAAACAGGGCGAAGAACAATATTGAAGATGGTACCTTGAAGCTTTGGCAGTAAGCTAGTGGCTCTGTCATGGTGACAATGGTCACCAAGCTATAGAATTCTGAATTCTTGATTTGACTGCCCCTACCTTGCAGAACCAAGAGGGGAAAATCAAACCCCAAAAGTGAGGATGATTAGCGAACACATGTAAGGCGCAAATAATTACCGGGTAAGGAAATAGATAAAGTAATGTAGGAAAAAAAAAAATGAAACATACATATAGTAGTACATATGATATGGCAGATATCAAGAAAAGGCAAAAAAGACGGGAATGATTCCAATCACAATGATTAATGCT